CCCACACTTGCCTAGACAATAGGGGGAAGGAAAATCATCAGCAGCTCACTGCACGTTACCTTGTCCGTCGTATATTGGGGCTCGTTGATGACAATAACGACATCTCGGTGTCTTCTTTACAACAATCCATATCTGGATTCGTTAGGTATGATGTGACGTACGGAAAGGCTTGGCGTGCTAAGCAAATTGCTCTGGCGATTCGATGGGGTACTTGGGAGGAAGCGTATAACAGGGTGCCCCGCATCTTATGTGCAATGCATTGTTACAACCCTGGCTTGAAATGGTTTGTGGACACCGGAGGGATGTTTTTTCGGGACCCATTGAGGCATGTCCTCTATCGTGTGTTCTGGTCGTTCGCGCAAACGGAACATGCATTCCAGTTTTGTCGGTCAGTCGTACTTGTTGATGGCACTTTCCTGACAGGAAAGTACAGGGGCACCTTGATGATGGCTGCTGCTGTTGATCCTGAGGACCAGATAGTACCCATGACTTTTGCTTTGGCAGAGGGAGAGAACACTGAATCGTGGTCATGGTTCATGCGGCTTCTTTGTGTGCAAGTGCTTGGCCCAACTCGCACTATATGTTTGATCTCCAACCGTCACGCAGGGCTTCTTAATGCTGCAGCTGAGCATATAGATGGGTTCCCACCTCTAGTACATAGATGGTGCATGAGACACTTTGCCGCTAATTTCTGGCGGCGTCAGCGGAAGCAGGAGGTATGTGACAAGGTAAAGGCTCTATGTTGTGTACGTACAAAGCACCAGTTCAAGGAGACAAAGAGAGAACTAGACAAGATGGTAAATACAACGGAAAAGGCCTGGTTAGAGGCGCAGATGGAACAGAAGGCTCAGTGGGCGTTAGCATATGACGAGGGGGGTTTCAGGTATGGCATCATGACCACTAACTCCTCGGAGTCCTTCAATCGTGTATTCACCGGAGTTCGATCGTTGCCTGTGTCTGGAATTGTTGAGTTCTCCTTTCATAAGTGCAACGAATATTTTGTGAAGAGGTGGGAGCTTGCACAGAGGAATATAGCTGAGCAGGGGCATTTTGAAAAGGCCGGAGCTGATCACTTGAAGGAGGCAGAGGAATTGGCCAAGCAGCACACCGCCGAGCCATATGGACTCTGCCGCCATATCTTTAGTGTATGGGGCAAGGGTGGCACAAGCCTGGGCGGCGAACGTTATGGTGGACGAAACTATCGATTTGATCTTGAAAAGGTAGAGTGCAGTTGCAACGTCCCTCAGATCATGCATGCCCCTTGCTCTCATATGATCATGGCCTGCAGGGTTCGCGGGTACAACTATGAGGATCTACCATATATGTCACCCATTTATCTCCGTTCGAACACCGTTAGTATTTGGGAGAAGAGCTTTGAGCCATACCTTGACCCAACACAGTGGCCATCTTATAATGGTTATGACTACGTGCCGTATCCGGATCTAATGAAGGTAGGGAAGGGTAGGAGAAAGAAGAAGCGACTGAAGGGGGACATGGACGCTATGAAAGGGTATGGCGAAGACATGTACGGCGGGATGGCCTTTGTTTATCATTTTGTAACAGGATGGCCCCTCCCACGCCGCACCAGCTGATCCCCCTTCTTGATGCGGAGTACAACAACCCCCTTCTTGTACCGAACGACGAGGTTCATTACGTCGTGGGACTTAGTTCATTACGTCGAACTTATGTCGAACAAATATTATCGTCAAAAACTTGTAGACTCATAAACCAATAAAAATATTGTATGGCAACTTATCATCCATTTATTTGCTTCATGTTCGTTTTGTACATCACTTGTAGTTTTGTACAACACCGACAACAACTCAATTGTAGCTGGCCGTTGTCCGTCCACGCACTGACGTGCCATGTACTATGGCGCGGCACAGACGCGTCGTGGGCTCTAGCACGGCAGAACCATGCCTATGGGGTACCAGAACCTGGCCTATGGCGCGACAAATGATTACGTTCGTTTTAGAAATTTTGAACGCATGATACAAATAGATGTGATCACTTAAGATCGATCATGGGTAATCCGAGTGCATGATACATGGGTATAATACATCAGTAGTTCAAATAGAATATAAGACAACACAATAGAATTTCTACTACATGGCTACATTGATCATTAATAAAGCAAGGAACTAACAGACAACGCAATCAAAAACCCTCAGTCAGAAACGTACTGAGTAAGCAACTCGTCGTCCGAGTACCAATCCTCAACCACAACCCTGTTGCTGTGGCTATGCTCACCTGTGTTGCTCTGACCTGCCTGTCGCCTGTAGTAAGCGGCCTCCGCTTCATCTACGGCCGCTGTGGCCTGAGTGAAGAACACGTCATCATCCTCCTCCGCCTGTAAGCCCATCTCTGCTAGAGCGATGAGCTCGCTCAGTCTGCCAGTGTCATCCTTATCCTCCTGTGCCTGCAAGCCAACCTCTGCTAGAGCGATGAGCTCGCTCAATCTGCCAGTGTCATCCTCATCCTCCTCCGCCTGCAAGCCCGCCTCTGCTAGAGCAATTAGCTCACTAAGCCTGCCAGTGTCGTCCTCATCATCGTCCCCCTCATCAGACAACACAATCGGTGATTCAACGGTGCGACCAGCTCGCTTTCTGTGCTCATCTAACTTCTTTTCCTCGTACCTTGCATGAGCCACCTCTGCAGCATGTTCCTCGCTGCATCCAATCCCTTCATGTATAAAATATAATCAGTTAGTAACGTGGTTATATTACATTTAAAATCAGATAACGAAAAAAGACGTTCAAGCACTCACTGGCACATAATACAGCAGCATGCTCATTCAAGACCTGCATCTGTACTCTTGTCTCCTCCCTTGCCTCATTCCTTGCCCTCTCCTCCTCTAACGTCATCCGCCTCTCCAATCTCCATTTGTTAAGCCCAACATCGATCGGGTTACAAATACCGCGCTGTCTAGCAAACTCACGCATCTTTTCTTTATGATGTTTAACGAATAGGTTGACGTAGTCAGGTCCATATCCTCTCTTCCTTGCAATTAGTTGCCTCTTCTTCAGTTCATCCAAGAACTTAGCTTGACCATCGTAACGTTCCCACCTGTATTTCCTAGTGCTCTGTTCAAAATAAATATTATATCATATATGTCTGAGCAAAAGAAACAAAATATGATTTCATGTTTACCACAAAAATAACGAACCTCTTCGTACTCAACCATATGGCCACAATAATGGCCTATTCCAAGCTCCGAAGGGACTAGGCTATAATTAGAATTAACACCACATTCGCACTTGACGGTGGTGCTTTGTAAATTAACCTTTCTTTCTTCTTTTGTTTTGCTTTTAGAGGTTCTTCGGGCCATTTGTTCTTAGGACCATACAACCACTCCTTGAAACGACACTTCGCCATTGAATACACATAAATAACGTGATATTAGTACATGACACATATAGCTCAATATTTCAACACATATACTTTGCACTTACTTCATGCTTGTTTGGACACATAAATTCCAACGTATTGTCAGGGTTTATCATGGCTCGGTCTCTGCAATGGCACAGAGGAGGTTCCTCGAGTCGTCTAACTGCGGCTAAGTGCTTCTCCTTAGCCGTCATTGGAGGGGGGTTAGGGGGAGGTGGAACCCACCGCTCGAAGTGCGCTCGTGGTTGTCGTCCACTCCACCAATCATCGAAAAGGAGGTACCTGAGGTCAAACTTGTTTGCACCGTCGATCCACTGAGAGAAAAAGCACCTCTCATGGTCCTACACAACAAAAAAATTTAAAAAATATTAGTAATCTAGTAATACAAATGAAGAAGAAAAAGACAGTGGAAATAATTACTTACATTAAAACGACTGCACGTGTAGAAGCAACGAGCCGTTGTGCCCGGATGTCTCGATTGAAACACGTCGGCCGGACGACCACAGTCACAATTAGGGACAGAGAGATCAGGAGGGACGGGGGCATCTTTGTTAGACTCGTCGGGGTACATTTCTCTAGGACGACCCCGTTTTCGCCATAACTGCTCTCGAAACATGTCTTCCATCTAATAAAACGGTTCAAATTAAACATTAATCAAAATAACGTAAATTAATGTAAAATGTAATCATTTGCGATGCAACTAAAATATTATAAACAACAAGTATAGCAACAAAAATATACATGACAAACATACTTCTAACTAAATAATTAACCTTAACATTGACAAAATCAAACTAATATGTTCACCATAGTTCCAAACATAATTTTCCTAGTAACCTTAACTCCCATTCATAATATCATATCCACCATTTAAACAAAAATAAAATGTGCGTCATTACCTTGGACTAGGACGAGGAGGGAGGGAGTTGGCCGAGGAATGGAAGGAAAGGGAGGGAGGCGGCAATGGAGGGCCGGGCTGCCGTCGTTCGTGGCGCGGCTGCCGGCGTGCTTGGCGACGGGCGGGAGTGGGAGCGACGCCTAGGCCGCTTTGCTGCTCGCGCATCGGGACTGGCCGCGGCGGAGGGTATACCCGGCTCTGCCGCGCCATGGATCAGGGCGTGGCACTGCCGCGCCAAGATCGGTGGCGCAGTAGAGCCCTGCCCCGTCAGCGGTCAACGCTTCTGGTCGCCGCCACGTCAGCTCCTTACCGCGCCGCCATGTATGGCGCGGCACAGGCATTTGGCCGCGCCAGGAAAATAGGCACGGCCAAAAGTGTTAGTTTAAAAAAAACCGAGAATGTTAAATTTAAAATTAGTTTCGAAGCGGCGCGGCACAGGCATTTGACCGCGCCAGAGAAATAGGCACGGCCAAAAGTGTTAGTTTAAAAAAAATCGAAAATGTTAAATTTAAAATTAATTTCAAAAAAGTGTTAAAATTAAAAAAAAATCTCCCCAAAGAGCCACCACACGCCCTGCCTGGCTGCCTCCCTCCCACCAGAAAAGCACACCCACCTTCTCTCTCCCTCTCGCTCTCTCCTCAAAACCAACCAGCCTGTCCCCAACAATGCACACCAACATCCACTCTCTCATCAGCAGCCTCTTCTTCTCCCCCAAATGAGTGCTGAGTTTTGTGCTGCTGCGGCCATGGAGCTCGGAGTCGGGGATGTGATGGGGATGCAGCAAGGCATCGCCATCACCGCGCCATCACCCAGGGACAGCTGCGACCTGGGTCTTCTCAAGCGAGCAGCCCTCACCAAGGCAGCGGCGGCTGCTGTTGCTGGCCCCTACCCCTCCCCATTCCTCGACGAACAGAAGATGCTCAGGTTCTCCAAGGCGGCTCACACATTGCCCTCAGGTTCGGATGCCTCCTCAGTCCTCAACAACACATTTTCTTCCATCATGCTCATTCGTTCTTCCTTACTTTCATACGCACTGTAGAACCAAGATGCCGTGCCCATTCATTCCTCCTTTCATACGCACTGTAGAAGTAGAAGTAGAACCAAGATGCCATTTTGCATGTTCTTGGATGGATGGATATGTTCTCTGCAAAACATGTTAGACAGCGGCAGTAGTAGTGTCTCTCTATTGTAAGTAATATTCAAAAAAAGAGAGCAAAAGTCTAAAGGAGAACAGAGGTGCAGCATTCATGGAACTTGATGAGCTCTCATGAATGCTATGCTACATGGAGGGGCCTAGCGTAGCGGCCATAGGGATTTGCACAACGCTGGAGCTCTCCTGGAGCCTGGGCCCCTCCCTCCCCGGCCAAGGCCAAGGCTGCCCCGTAAACATTTCATCTGCTTTTTTACCTTTACACTTTTGTCTTGGCGCTCCCTTCACCATGCACGTCTCAGGAGATAAGGTTGCTGTTTTGCTTCAGCATTTCAGATTTGGTCAGACTAAATATTCTCCTTGTTTCGCCATCATCTAGGCTTGGTTTTTGGAGGCCCAAGCGAGCAGGCTTTCCTGCTGTCCAGGACCAAGAGGCCATTTACTCCCTCGCAGTGGATGGAGCTGGAGCACCAGGCTCTGATATACAAGTATCTCAATGCAAAGGCCCCCATACCTTCCAGCCTGCTCATTTCAATCAGCAAGAACTTCAGATCATCCAATAGAGGTATGCATGCAAAACTACTAGCACTTGCAATAAACCAAGATAGAAAAGAAATACTATTTTGCACAGACGGATGGCTTTGTAGTGTTACATGGTAAATAAAAATGTTGGCAACTCTGTAGTATCTGAAACCACAAATCATTAAGTTCAATGTATGAATGTCATGGAACTACAAAGATATTACACCAAAATGTTACCACCATTTTGTACCCAAACAATCATATGCCATAAAGAATAACCACAGCATTGCTTTGAATATAAATGTAATCAGAGCTTGACAGACTTCTCTAATGCAGTGAGCTGGAGGCCTCTCTATCAAGGCTACACAAATGCAGACTCTGACCCAGAGCCTGGAAGATGCCGACGAACAGATGGAAAGAAGTGGCGATGCTCCAAGGAGGCAATGGCTGATCACAAGTACTGTGAGCGGCACATCAACAGAAACCGTCACCGTTCAAGAAAGCCTGTGGAAAACCAACCCAAAAAGACCACCAAGGAGGTGGCTGCTGCTGCTGGCTCAGTGCCATGTGCTGGGCCACAAGGTAGCTTGAAGAAGGCAAAAGTTAATGACTCCAAGCCAGGCACTATCAGCTATTGGACAGATAGTTTAAACAGGTAAATACTATATTCTTACACCAGAGTCATGTCTTTATATGAGGCACCCTATTTTTAGCATCATATCTGAATAATAAAATCCCAACTTAATACTTGTGCATCCTATTAACAGCATCGATGATGTTACATTTTGGAATAGTACTAGTATGTTACATTCTGGAATAGTGTTAGTATGTTATGGTTCTATATAAGATTATTTTGATTTTAGTTGCCACTTAGCAGTCATAATAATTCCCATTTCTAAAACCTTCTACACATTTTCAGGACAATGTTGAGCAGAGAGAAAGCAAACCAACCGATGGAAGACAACTCTTTGCTGCATAATTCTACGAATAGCCAACCCACCTTGTCCCTGCTCTCTCAACTGAAGCAGCAGAACAAACCAGATAAGTTAGGTCCCACACTGGAAAATGAGTCGGACACAATATTGAAAACCTGGGGAGGCAACCAGCCTAGCCATAAGAGCATTTCCTCCACACAGCGCCATGATGCTGACTCCCTCCAATCAGTCCTTCAAAATTTCAGCCTAGCCCAGAATGAGAAGATGGAGTCAGAAAAGAACAAATATTCTGATTCGATGCTAGTTTCATCGACTTTCTATTCTGCAGACAGTCCACGAAGTACCTGCCTTACACCTAACATGACACAAGTGCAGCAGGATTGCATATCAAGCTCTTGGGAGATGCCTCAAGGTGGACCTCTAGGCGAGATCTTAACAAACTCCAAGAATAGTGAGGACTTAAGCAAGTGTGAATCAAGGTCATATGGTTGGCTATTGAATCTTGACCATGTACCATGATTCCTCAATCCATGGAGAGCTTGACATAGATATCTCACCATGGAAGCAAACAATGGTCAGAAAAAGAAGGTTCGAATGACCACATTGTTTGCCCCATGCATGCTCGCTGTCTACATTTGTATTTCTGTTTTGTAGTATTTAGCTAGTTGAATTATCAGTTCTTTTGAATCTGGCTGTATCTTAAACAAATTCTAGTTTGCGTCAGATGATATCTTGCTTGCTAGATGTTTCAAGTTTAACTTTCAACAGGAACTTCAGAGATCCACTTTGATGAACAGAAAACTGTTTGAAGAACCAGCTCTAGTAAGCAAGGTTCCAAGGAACTACTTTAGTTATGGACATTTTTCTCACTTTTTCCGGACATGCAGGAGAGCTACATCATCATTATATTAAATTAAATAAGAGTTTAGACACACCCTTAATTATATTTTTCTCATGGACTACTGAAATATAGATTTAACGCATGAAGATAAACATGTAACTGTCATTGCAGACATTGAGGTCATTTGACCTTCACAATGGCTGCAACGTAGGGTTAGATTTTACAGGAATAACAGAGTACCATTTGTAGGAAACCCTTTGATAAGTCACAAAACTAACTACTGCAACCACACAGTTATTCATTTCATATAGAGAACTTTTAGAGTGCGTTTCCAAAAACAAACCTGCCAGGGTTCCAAACATAATTCCTGCTCAACAGCTATACCTGTCAAGTTGTCAGTAGACCTTTAAGTAGTTTCTGTTGCTGTATTTCTAGCTCTGAGACAGAGCTTCTAGTTCTATCTTAGCTGGTTAGCCTCAGGTCCGGGGGATGCCCCTGATATCTTCTTCTGGTTCTGTCTGAAACCTTCTAAACTCTGTATTTCCGTTACTGTTAATGGAAATGGGACTTGTCTCAGGTGGAAAAAGCTATACCGATATATGGGATTCATGTATGATAATTCGAACCATGGCCTCGATAGGAACAGCAGCCAGGTGGCCACAAAAGGACCCATGTTCATGTATGACAATTCGATGGTCACAAAAGAATCCAAGTTCATGTATGACAGTTCGATGCAAGAAAAGGATCCATGACAGCTCATACTGACATGATCATCCAGAACAGCTAAGATGACAGACATCTGAGAATGCAAAAGACCGATAAGCAGTGCAGAGCAATTTATCCATGTTGGAGCTTAGGGAGCGTAGGGCGTAGGACTGCGAGATGGCTGACCTGGACTTGAATCCCCGGCGGTGAACAGGAGTGCGAGGATGGGCTTTGCACCGCCGGCAGGTCCAATCTCATCCGCGTCCAAGAGAGCTTATAACGACTTTTTCGCAAGGAACTAGACGTCGAGCGAAGTGGAAGCACTGGACGAGCTGTTCCCGGCGGCCACTGCTACGATTGGTACAAGGCTCTTCTCGGATGACAGAGCAGAGTCACGCGGCCATTAGCGGAGACGCACAGCTACATAGGTTACTTGCGCTGCTCGTAGTTCGGTTGTTTACTTTTATGTAATATCGACGTTTGAAACAGTCTACTAGGAAGGTCCAGTCAAACTGTAAGACCTCTTAGGGCGTTCATTAGAAGCGTGTCGTGTGTATGGTTAAACCCCTTTTCTTCTTAATTACAATGATACGCAAATCTTTTGCGTATTCGAGAAAAAAAAAACTGGAGGCGCCTGGTGCAAAGCGTGAACGAGAGCGAGAGGGACTGAGGACAACACGCCCAAGAGCGAGAGAGATAAACTCAATCTCTGGCTAATCTTATTAAACAAATTGTGTTCAGTACTTATACAAGCAATCTTAACAAACCAATGCTACGTTAATGGAATAACAAACCAAGGTGATAACTCTCCTAAACTGTAGGATCCTGCCAACTAAACTGAATTCGCGGTGACTGCGTCCAGGTGCATTGCGCCGCCGCGGTGACCGTGCGCGGGCGCGCCGTGGCGAGGCCCACTACTCAACCACGGTGTCTGCGCTGATAGACCCTTCCGGTCATAACATCTCTCCCCTCCTCGGAAAACAGCTCGTCCTCGAGCTAGAACCAAGGGAAGAGAGCACGGAACTCGTCGACGGGCTCCCAAGTAGCATCAGCTTCCGGCATAGACTCCCATTGGATGAGCACATGCCAAACCCCGCGGTGGAGCTAGGCACGCAGAGCACGAGCAGGTCGATGAAGAACGCGGCCGTTGTGAAGGGGTGGTAGCGCCGGTGTAGCCGTCGGAGATGTACCACGAAATGGCTTAAGCACGCCAACGTGAAAGACGTCGTGGATGCGGGCGCCGTCGGGCAGGCGCAGGCGATAGGCGACGGGTCCGACACGCTCCACGACCTAAAAGGGGCCAGCGAAGCGTTGGCTGAGCTTGCCGCGGAAGCCCGGCACCAGTGATTGCGCCGGACGGTGGAGGATCCACAGCAGCACCCAATCATCAACGTTGAACTCCAGCGGCCGGTGTCGCATGTTGTACTGCTTCTTGGCGTACTCCTGGGCCTGCAGCAGGCGAGCGCGCATGTCCGCCAGGAACGCATCACGGTCGCACAGCAGGTTGTCGACGGTGTATGTCCTCGCGGTCCCTGCAGTATAAGGCAGCAAGGCGGGCGGAGGCCGGCCATATACTACCTCGAATGGCGTTGTCCGAAGCGCGGAGTGAAAGGAGGTGTTGTAGCAATATTCAGCCCACGGGAGCCACTCCAGCCAAGCGCGAGGGGGATCACCGGTGAGGCACCGCAGATACATGGCAATTGTGCGGTTGACCACCTTGGATTGAACGTTGGTTTGCGGGTGGAATACGGTACTCATCCGCAGCTTGACGCCGGCGAGCTTGAAGAGGTCGCGCCACACATTTTCGGTGAACACCGGGTCGCGATCACTGACGATTGAAGTAGGAAACCCGTGAAGCCTGATGACGCCCTCGAAGAAGGCCTTGGCGACGGTCGCTGCAGTGTAGGGGTGGCTGAGCGCGAGGAAATGCGCTTGCTTGGAGAACCGGTCGACCACCGTCAATATCACGCTCTTGCCACCGTCAATATCGAGCGCAATGTCAGACCACACATGGGATGGCACGTCTAGAGGCTGAAGGAGGCCGGCGGGGTGCAGGTGCTCCGTCTTGTTGCGTTGGCACGTGAGGCAGACGCTCATGAACTCCCGCACCAGTCGGCGGTCATGGTCGACCACGAAATCTTGACGGAGGCGCTGCAGCATCTTCTGTGTGCCCTCGTGCCCGCGGTGTGGGGCCCAATCAGAACCCAGGAGGAGCGCTGCCGACATGGCGGCGGCACGAACACGCTGGAGCCACGCATGATGAGGCCGTTCACCACGCGCCATGGCTCACCGTGGTCCGCGACCACGCGATCCCGGGGCACGGAGCTCGTGTCCTCCCGAAGTTCATGGCGAAGGTCATCAAACAGCTTGAAGGAGGGGCGGTGAGCGCACTTAGCTGCTGCGTCTCCATCCTCACGCCTAGATAGGCGTCGGCCGACGGCGTTAAGGCTGCCCGCCGAATTCCACGGCAAGTCGTACCCAAACAACTTGCTTATCCACTGATTCTGGGGCACTGTGGACAAACGCTGATCAAGCATGAATTTGAAAGCATAATGATCGGTCTCGCGGACGACGAAGTGTTCCGCCTACGATAGGGCGCCAATGGTGGACCGCTTGAACCAATCAATCAACTCATGTTCATATGCGCGACTTTGAGATGGCGAGCTGCAAATGGCGGCTGAAAAAATGCAAGGGCGCGGCACCCTAATGGAGAACCGCCCGAACCTGGACGAGGCGTCACAACCCACCGTGAATGCCTTGTCGAAGTTCGGAAGATGCAGAGACTGTAGGCGGTGGACAGTGCCTGCTTGAGCCCGTCGAAGGCCAATGTCGCCTCCAGAGTCCAGCAGAATGCCTCTTTCTTGAGCTGCGCGGTCAGGGGAGCAGCAATGGCGTCGTAGTCCTTGATGAATCGGCGGTAGTAGCTCACGAGGCCAAGGAACCCACGGAGGCCCCGCACTGACTGAGGCTGAGGCCTGCTGGACACGGCTGCAACCTTCTCGCGATCCATGGCGACACCGTCAGACGAGATCACGTGCCCTAGGTAGTGCACGGACGACGTCGCGCAGGAACATTTGGTGCGCTTGAGGCGGAGCTGATGATCACGAAGCGCGGTGAGGACCGTGTTGATGTGTTGTAGATGCGACGACCATGACGGGCTGTAGATGAGTATATCATCGAAAAACACGAGGACAAACTTACGAAGGAATGGGCGGAGAACCGAGTTCATGAGGCTTTGGAACGTTGTCGGTGCATTGGTGAGCCTGCAAATAGATTGACAAAGCTATGATTGGTAATTGATTCTGTAAAAATTAAGTTTAGGAGTGGTGTCATTCTTTAGCTCTTGTTGATAGCCTAAGGTGCCCTCTTTAGAGTAGTGAAGGTGGTTTGGGGATTGGATCAACTGTGTAGTTGTTTCGAATGCTTTAAAATCAGTGCACAGCGTGTTCTCGGGCTATTTTTCCCGGCTGGACGCGATCACCATGCCGAGCGGCCTCGAAATTGTGGCGCACGCGTGGTCGTGCGCTAGCCGGCCAGAGTTGCCCGCGCTCTGGCCGCATCACTGGCGGCCTCGGGCTGCCGACCCGCAGAGCCGTGGCTGCCCGACTCGCCACGTCGCGCTGCCCCCGCCTATGGCCGTTGCCGCACGTTGCTACTGCCCTCCGTGCCGTGCCACGACAACGCCGCTGTCGCTGCCGTCGCGTCGCTGCGCTACGCTGCGCCACTGGCCCGCCTGGACGCTACACGCACGAGGCCGAACCGCCGTCGCCATGCCATTTATGGCACTGCAGCGCGTGGGCCATGCCGACCTCAAGCGCGTGTCGTCGGCTAGTGCCGGCCGTGGTCACTCCGGTCGCGTCAACCGCATCCCGCCAAGCCAGCACAGGCCGAGCCTTGACTGCATCTCCACCGTCTCTCGCCCCTCCCCTGTCCTCTTCTTTGCTGCCGCCGCCGAGCCGCGCCAACCCACCTG